CGCCAAAGAAACACAGCCAGGAAAGGAGAACCGTGCAACAACAGGAGCGCTGCAACTCAGCAAATAAGCAACCGGGTGATAAGAGAAGGCATTTATGATATAAGTAAGACAGCCAAGGGCCAGGGGGTGTAGCTCAGTGACAAGGGCAAGGTCCTGAGTTTAATTCCCGGTATAATAAACAAACAGTCAATACTTACATCAGGTTAAAAAAAATCTCTAACAGGCCAATTAAAAAAGAAAGCAGCTAGGTGTGGTGGTGAACACCAGGAATCCCAGCACTCTGGGAGGCTGAAACAGGAGGATCACAAGTTTGAGCCCAGTCTGGGCCACTTAGCAAGACTGTCCCAAAAAATACAGAAAAGGCTACTGCTCTATGGACAGGCCCTGGGTTCAATCTCCTGCACCACAAAATAAGTAAACAAATCAACAGAAAAACAGGTAACAGAGAGGTACAGAATAGCTCCCAAATGGGGAAACACCATGGGCTGGGAGACAGAAAGAGACAGGGCCGCCACAGAAGGTGGTAAAATAACACAGGTATGAGCCTGGCAAAACACAGACTGACCCCAGGGATGGCAAAGTGGGGAAATAAACAGCCCCACATGTGGTTCACAGAGGGACACAGCAGCTTCGACTCCCACCGGGGCGAATCAAGGCAGCCCAGCAAGCTTACTTCTTGGTGGTTGCTCAAGAGAAACCTTACACACACGCCAGGGCAAGCATTGTAGAATGAGCACCGAGACAGGCTTCGACCAGAGGAACCTTAGCAATGACCATTCATTCTGTAAAAAGTGATTCTGCTGTGGTTCATCCACACTGTGGAATACTATAGGTCAATCAAAGAGAACAAAATCATTCTGTGAGTAAGGACAGGAGAGACCTCCAGGAGAAACTGATAAGAAAAAGTAATCTGTAGAACGACAAGTGTGATGTAAGCCCTTTCCATTAAAAGATGGGAAAGAAGAACTCACCCAGGAAAAATTATCCCCTCTTTACATTTGAGTCCCTACATGTCTTGGCACAGTGGTTTAAAAGAAAAAAGGGCCGTCAGTCCCAGCAGTCAGGAGTCTGAGGCAGGAGGATCTCTGAGTTCCAAGCCAGCCTGGGCTACATAATGAGTTCAAGGCCAGCCTGAACCACATTCCTTCAAAAAGACTAAACTAAAGTTACTTTTATTAGAAGAGAAGGAAGAGGAAGGAGCCTGTGAGTGGGGTGCATGTTGAAGTCATCGCCCACACTCCTAGGTGAGGCAACCGAAGGATCCAGTGAGAGAAACGCAGCACCACTAGGGGGCAGAGCAGGATGGAAGGGACCCAGGAGGGCGGAGGCCAGCAGGCAGGAGCTCACCATCGGGTCAGCGAGTCCTGGATGGCGTTGGTGAGCGCGTGGCCCAGGTGCAGCGAGCCGGTCACGTTGGGGGGCGGGATGCATAGCATGAAGACGCCCCGCGGATTTGGCGCGGACACGCTGGGGCGCTGGTGAGAGGACGGTGCGTGAAGGCTCGGTCACCCCGCCGGGCCTGGGCCAGGGTCTTCAGCCTCCACCCGCAGCCCGGCAGTACCCACTCACCCCGAACTCCGGCTTGAAGAAGCCCTGCCGCTCCCACCAGGGGTACCAGGCGGCCTCCACATACCGAGGGCTGTACGAGTCGGGCATGGCGCCACTCACATCTGGAGGCAAGAGAGGGCACAGTGCAGCCGGGCAGCAGGGAGGATGGGGACAGGGACGGGAGGACAAGGAGGGAGGACAAGTTCAGGTCCAGGGCACAGCCGGAAAGAGCTGAAGCTGCGCTGCCTCCTCCCCTACCTTTCTTCTCTCCGGGCGGGGTGGGGATGTCGTAGGTAAGGACCCCAGGATCGCGCTTCTCCTTCCTCTCGGCTTTGGGTTTCTTCTGCTTGGAGGAGAAGGTACAGCAGGCCTGGGTGTCAGGCACCCCCAGGGGCCCATCATCAGCTGGCCCTCCCTCCGGCCCTCACCTCCCCTGGTGCTGGCTGCTGCTGCTGGATCTTCTGCTTCTGCTGGAATTTCTCCAGCTTCTCCCGTTTCTTTGCTTCTTTCTTGAGCTGAGCAGCTGTCTTTGGAGGTGCAGGGACCTCGGGGCCTGCAAACAGGAACGGAAATTCAGACAGCCCCTGGGGACTCTGCACAGGGCCAGCCTGTTTCAGAAAGGCCGTGCTGGGTGTTGGGGGGCTGCCCTCCCAATCCACCGTGGCTTCCTCTGCCAACCCCAGCCCTGCCCACCTGGCTGCTGAGCGGGGGACCGGGTCCCTGAGCACAGAGCCACCTCTCCCAGCACCGCGTGGAACTCTGGCTGCTGGACACATGTGCTAAACCAGCGAGTCACATTGCCCCAGATCTGGCGGGCAGTGGGGTCCAGCACCTGGGAAGGAAGAAAAGAGTCACCTCAGCACCCTGTGTGAGGGAAGCGCTGTGCTGTGAACCCTCCCCAGCCATGGGACTCACATATCGGAAAGGCAGCAGCAGGGCTGTCACGGCAGCCAGGTCGGCCAGGGAGGGCGCGTCCCCTGCCAGGTAGGTGTGCAGACTCAGCCACTCTTCCAGGGGCCGCAGGGCCTTGCCCAGGGCCCCCAGTGCAGCCTGGCCAGAAGGAGATGGGCATGAGACCAGCGGCCCTCTTCTGCCCTGTCCAACCCGCCCATCTGGCCTCTGTCGCTCTACAGACCCCAACTCCAGGCCAGTCCCTTCTTCACTCAGGCGGTCCGAGTCCTGGCGGGGGAGGCCACTCGACAGCAGCACCCCTGCTTAGCCCTGGGTTCCATCCCCAACACCTAATAAATGTGGGGTCCGTGTGTGCTCGTGTGTACATGTGTGTGACACATCTGACCCTCCCCTACTGGACACGTGTGTATGTATCAGACGAAATACACTAGTGGGAGCGTTAAGAGTACCAAGAACCGCCGAGTCTTCAACGAGCAAACAAGCAATAAACAAATATATAACGCAATGCGATTGTTTTTCTTCTTTCTTAACTCCCGTGAAGAAAATAAGCGGGCCTGGGTTACAGGATTTCTGAGTAAGAGGGGACTATCTTGGGTAGGGTGACCGGGCAGGAGGGAGCAGGACATATTCACTCATGCGATCATCACTGACGCAATACTGCCCACACCTGCGCACTGCTCTGCGAGGGGTGTGGGGAGCCCTCAGGGTCAGCCCCTATGGAAGGACGCGGGGTGACAGCCGGGCTTGGGGGCTCTCTCATCTCCTTCACTTCCCTTCCTCCACAATCCACTTCTCTGTCTGGTCCCAGCATCTGTAATCTCTCCCTCACCCAGTCCTTTCCTGCATTCAGAGTAACCTCTGGGCACAGTGGTGTAAGCCTATAATCCCAGCGCTTGGGGGCTGAGCGAGAGGATCGATGTGCATTCATGGCCACCCTAAAGTACACAGAAAGACCCTGTCTCAAAAAACAAAAACCTTAAAGTAACTTCTATCATCAGTTTCAGACTTGCCAAACTTTTACTCCTTTACTCAGAGACTTTAAAACAGCCGCCACTCCATTGCGCGCTCTGCACACCTTTTAACCTCGTTACATCTGCGAGGCAGGTATTACATCAGCCTGCATTTTCGTAGTGGTTGGAAGACCAAAACGCAGAGAATTTTTTTTTAAGTGCCCGAAGTTAGCACAGCAATGGCGATCTGGGCTTCGTCAGTCGTCCCCTCCATCCGACAGCCGGTCTGGTCTCCCATGCGCTCCGGGCCTCGCTTTCCCTCTCAGCCCCGCTTCGCTCCCCTCCCACTCACCTGGGGGTCCTGGGCAGGGCTGCGGAGCCCCAGGGCCGGCAGCGCCGCCCCACAGGCGGCTGGGACGAGCTCCGTGTCGGCGTAGCTGGTCCACTGC